CGGAAGCTGCCATAGATTACCATAATCTCCGATGCTAATTGACTAGACGGTCGTAGATATACATATACAGTTTCAATGATGCCAAAGGCCTACTTTGCAAGTTATAGAGTATGATCGAAAACTTATTTACCTTAGAAGTTGAATATTTACTTATAAGGTAACTATATTACATATACAAAAATATTTAAACCTTGCCAACACGAAGTATATAATATTTTTTAATTTTTAATTTAAATGGCCAGAAATCGCAACATTGAGGAAATGGTAAAAACATCAGATAATATCTTCATGAATTCAAACTTTTACCTCTGCAACTCCATCTTCATCATCTGGACATTGATGTCTGCTTGTGGCGTGGCTGGCTAAGTGGGATGCATCAACCGATGTTTATATCGATGTTTACTGGTATAGCAGTAAACCTGTTAATTTGTGCAGGGCATCCATATCCTGCTACCGAAATGTAATCGAGTAATCGAAATGTGCATTAAAACTGACCAGTCAAAGACAATATCACACAGCAGTATAGAATAAGAACTAATAGAGTACTGGAAGAATTATATAACCAGCCACATATAGCAAAAGTAATAAAGTCAGAAAGATTGAGCTGGGGCGGCTATCTTAGGAGACAGAAGATCTGGAAAGACTGATGATTGTTGGAGAGATAATATTGCAGTGGATTTACGGACCCTAAATATCGAACGATCAGATGAAGAATAACAGCTTTTCAAAGATGACGTCCTCTCGGAATTCATCAGAATACAAAGGGTGAAATGGGTCAAACATGTGGTGAGAATGGAGTGATGATGCGGGATATTTTGGGCATTCGGGGTTTGGAGAGAGCTGCGTCGGACAGTGAGGAGTGGAGGCAAAGGTTAAGGGAGGCTAAGGATCGACTTGGTCTGTAGAGCCATAGAAGAAGAAGTGTCGATCTTCTTGCAAAAAGCGAATCTCTTATCATTATCATTCTTCCAGAGAAGTAAGTCTGCTCTAATGTTATTCTTACTGGGTTATGTACTACTTCTTCTGCCTTCTGCTGACACCAGAGAGTCTTATCACCCAAATCTGGTTGTTTTTACCGTAACACAGTCTCTTCATAACAATGTGTCTTGCTTTTTCAGCGTCGCTATCGATTTGAAAATATTGCTTAAGGTCTTGTGGAGGAAGTGGAACCTTCTGGAAGTTTTTTCTTAAGTGCGAAGGGATATTATCTTCATGGCCTATCGCAGTGTCACTAGTTGATCTGCACTCAACGTCCTGATTTCCTGATTCGAATTAGTATCAGATTACGTTATGGAATTATTACATTGCGGAATCAAAAGTTATATTTTATTAAATAAAACAGTACTATTTTTTTGAAGGGGAATTTATATAAAAAAAATTGTATTCATACAAATGGAGATTGAGTTTAGAAACTGTTAACTTGCAATCGGCTTATGTGTATGTTAATCCCTGAAACAACCCGACAACAATAATAATCCTTCAAAACGGAACAATACAGGATTTTCGTTTTGGTGGTGCTATCGCCAAAAAGCAAATTAGTACCGGTGTTGTAACGACGGATATATGGTTTGTTGGCAGCGTTAAACGTTTCGACGATAATCAAGCAGTGTGAAGAGAAAACACGTGTGCTGAGTGGAATCAAGAGAAGAGGGGGGTTTATTTCTGGAAACGCAATTCAGACTCGAACCGAACCCTAATCTATCATCCGGGCAGAAGGTTCAAGTGAAATTCGATCACCGTATCCATGTGTAAGGATTTTTTTCTCCACGTTTTCAAACATACCCCCGGATTTTATTTACTTACCCTTTTCATTTTTTATTAGCCCAAGTTGTTGTTGAAGGATAATTAAGGGCAATTAACATCAATATAACTCACTCCGTATAATTACTTTTCTAAAACGAGTCATATAAATGGATGATTTCGAAAAACACGTCTTAAATTATTGTAGGAGACGTATTTTTGGGAAAAAGGAGAGACAACGCAGAGAGAGATTCGGAACCGGCAGCCCGAAAACATTTAACGGTCCAACTTTTGCGTTTTCGCTAATGGCTTGGCGGGGATAAATCATGCAGTTCCCCCGGACGAAAAAAGAAGATAAATAGAGCTTGTGGGATTTCCGGGACGCTATCGCTTAAGAATTATCTACCGCGGCTGTCCGACTTTACCCCACCCGTGTTTTTATCCAAGGCTTACAGATTTCACAGCGCCACCGAAAATCGTACGGCGAAACAGATTTTAAATTTAACTCGAAAATTTTTCCTCATACGATTTATTTTTTTTTTATTTCTTTTTTTAACTCTTCCTACGCGATCTCTTCATTCATTCAATCAACTAAGTATTCATTAATTAACAAGGTTAAATAACAAAGACTAATATATAGTTTGAAACTAATTAGAAATTTTCTAGTTCTAGGTTTAGTATTAGTTACCGAGGCAATAGTTCTATGTCAATAATAACATAGTGTTTAGAAACCGAGGCAGCTGTGCTGCCGAGGCAGTAGTTCTAAATTTTCAATAATGACATATTATTTAGAAACCGAGGCAGCCATGCTACAGAGGCAGATGTTCTAGTGTTTAAAATAAGGTAAAGTTTTCTTTAATACAAATGTGTTACCTAAAAGCCGAGGCAGCCATGCTGCCGAGGCAGTGGCTCTAGGATTTAAAATAATGTAAAGTTTTCTTTTATACAAATGCATTATTTTAATTTAATAAAAATATACAACAATCTAACGCTGAATAACAACAAAAACTAGGGTTAACACTAGCACTGGAACTAGCACTAAACCTAGAACTAGAAACATTTGTGTTTAGCCGTACGTCTCTTAAGACGGCTAAACCCGACTGTTTCTTGTTCTAGGTATAGTGTTAGTTCTAGTGCTGGTGTTAGCTCTAGTTCTAGTGCTGGTGTTAGCTCTAGTTTTAGATTATTGTATATCTGCCAGCATTATATGTCTTCGTAAAGATACAAAATCTCCTATAAGAGGATGTTTACTCTCACTCCGTGAAGGTCGTTTGCGGGCGAGGCGCTAGAATCTTCCACAACAGACGATTTCGTGTTACTATATTAAATCTAGCGCTGAATAACAATTAAAAGTAGAACTACGGAAGGATAACCCGATTTGGATTCTATTTAAGAGCGCTAACATTTATATTTTTTGTTTTTGATTTATAGTTTTACTTGGTTTATAACAATTTTAGTTAGTGTGATTTGAACAAGGGGGAAAAATTGTAGTGAGGGTTGAAAGTAATCCTCCGCGTGTGTTTATTTTTTATCCCTTGTGAGTCACCCAATTAGGATGGTATAGTTCGTTAGACACGGTTCCTCCTCTTCTCTTTATATACGACGGGACGTCGAGAGATAGGCGGTCGATTCAATTATCCTTTGGAATGATGGCGAAAATAATGTGCCCACACACACCACCATCGAGATCTACGTCAATCGTATCTCTTTGCTCGGGGTGGCGGAATTTATTTAAATGGAAAAGAGCTTTCCCCGCCGCCTGAGTGTATTTTCGAATTTATACCGGCATTAGTCGTATGGCAAGAATTTAATATAGATCGGAGGGCCCGATAAATGTATATACATGTAACAGAAAGGACGATATAACTTTACTAGGTAGAATTTAACTGTATAAAAGTGGGGTAGTTGGTTTGGAAAATATAAATCGTCTTTTCCGTTTCTATCCGGTAACCTCGGGGGTGGCTGCGGGGCCTTTTGTTTCGTAGATCTCGACTGTTTTTCGTTTCTCGGATAATTTATGGCGACGCTTTTCGCGGGGAAGTTTTTTAATTACGCCGAGTACCTGGTCCGATTTTTTATTTATCCGGGGGTTGAAGTTCTTTTCCAGTTTTTCTCCAACGAAAAGCCGGAAACTTGCCGGCATAAATAATGGATGGCACCGGACGCGAAGGAATAAGGAGGAGATAATTACTTTGCAATTAGGGCTCGTTAAAATTTACGACGTTACCATCAACGACCTCTCGTTTCATTTCGAATTACTAAATAATACCGCGATTAATAGAAATTAAACGATTCAAAATTTCTTAACATTAATTATAATAATTTTATGTAATTATCGTTATTACGTGTAAGTGTTCAGAATTTCGTTCGGTTAACACGGCCCGTAAACAAATATAATTCATTGTATGCATAATGAAAATACACGCGATTTATAAATATTTATGGCGGCCCCGAAATTGCGACAAAACGCGGGACAAATGCATCGACACGTGAAATGAACGATCGGTTTAAAGTTGCAGTTCGCGTTCGCCTCGACTATAAAATAATTCATCTCGTAAATTTTTATTCAATACTAAAATCACGCGCGATGTGATCGATGTTTATTTGAATGCCTCCATGTAATCATTATATTTATGTACAAACGTGTAAACATTCACTTTTAAAATTTAAAATTATTTTGTGGGAAATACATCGACGTTTCGACGGTGAGGTCATCTTCATGGACATAAAACGATGGGGGTGGTAATATAACCAGATTCGTGGTGATCTATCGACGTTCTGCAGCCGACATTATTGGACGTTTGTCGGTTGTGGACGGCCGGTCCATAAATCGCTGCGGGAATCGGCGCCGCGACGACAGCCGTCGTGTCGGTCGTCGTCAATCATAAATCACCGAAAAAGGCGACCCGAACCGACGCGACGCCACTGTGCTCGTCGCTAATACGCGCGACTCGTATATGCAAATTCAGGCGCAATAACATTATTGTAAATGCAAATGTGCCGCTAAATCCATTTGCACGCGAAACCGAGAGCGCACCGAAGCCATTTTCCCCACCCCTAATTCTCATCTATATTCCATCTCTATTTCAACCCCTATTTTAACCCATCTAGCCGTCTCACTTTTCTTACAACATCGAAATTGAAACTAAAACGATTAAGCTCCACTATAACTTGAAAACTATATTGTAATGAGTTATTACAATTCTTTTTATTTATATTAGTTTATTAATTAACTTCTATATTCCTTTTTTCTATTCTAGGTCTTCGACCAAATTCTTTTACCCATAAGAGGACGATGCAGAGGAAGCTTGATTTAATGGCTGATGGCGTCAGCTGCAGTACATCTTCACTTAGCTGGTTACAACGTGGATGCAATCAATGGAACCCAGCGGCTTCTTCTAAAGGTAGGATTTTTTATCTTCTTCTTTATCTGTGTGCAGTGAAGTCAAAATCTCCCAGGAGATTTAGACACCGTAATTGACACTGTCTATGTCTCCATTTTTCGTACGTGCATGCTTCCCTGCATTGCGAAACTTTTTTTAGTTGGGTTGCTAAATTCTTCGCACGTAGTTATACATCGCGAAATTCCTGGTAAAACTAGAAACGTAGCAAGTACATAAGAGCTTATCTGTCAGATATGATGTCAGCAGTTAATAGTGTGGATAGGGACAAAGTGCAAGTATTTCCATTTTCATCGATAGAATTCGAAGTTGTTGGACTTGCAAAAGTATTAAGAAAAGCAGTGCAAAATGAAATCTTGGAATTTTAAGGTTTTACCAGATGGAGTTGGAGTTGATGTTGGCGATTAAATGTTGGGATTTCTGTATGTAATCTATCTTATGTTCGTCATGGTCAGGTTGCGTGCGGTGTCGATTTTTCTGTAACTTCAGCGTTTCATAAGAAGCCATCTTCAACGTCATTTTCTAGGCCGGCTTTATATCTAGATTATTACGCAGGGAACAGAAACTGCTACTCGCACAGCTTAGAAATTCGGTCTTGTATTAACATGGCCGTTTTTGAAGACATCGGCCTCCCCGGCCATCACGTACGTCTAATATCTAGATTTGGATTTCTATTCGTATTGATGTATACAAGTTTTCGAAGACTTTGGAAATCATAGATAGGAAGCTTAGTGGTCTATACGAGGTGATCTCTTCTAACTTTTCTCTTAGTCTATGAATCATAACGATTTGAGCAAGTTTCCTGGTGGTAGAGGAAATAGTTTGTTCTCAGAAGCGCATTAATAAATGAAAGAATTCTGTGATGACTTGGATTTCCAGATACTTCAAACTTGAGGTATCGTTAATTATTATTGGGATGGTGTTGTTGCTTATATGGAAAATGAGCTTACTTCTCGTAGTGCTTTTCCTTTAGTCAAATGGTTAGGAACTGGAAAATATGACAATGAGTCATCGCAACCTCAACCCATTCGAAGTAGCTAGCGCAGAAATTGCCAAGTTATTTACAAAGTCTGCAATCAACTCATGAAACCATAACAATGAGTGGCAGAAACAATGGATGATTCAACAGAAGAACTTTTTACTCCAACAATTTTATATTATTATTATTCATAAAAAGAAGGTAAAAGTAATTTTTTTCTTTTTTGAATATTAACTTGAAACGTCGTTCGAATATCGAGCTAAAAAACAAATTTGATCCAATTTTTCATTGAGACAGGCGGACGGTAACTCGAAAAAGTTTATAGGCATCCCTCAAACCGAAAAGAAGGGGAGCGGTTCGGTGCGCTTCAGTTTCAATAAAACATGGCCCGTTTTTTTCCGTCCGATCATAAATTGGTTTAGAAGATGAATTTCAAAACGAACTTGCACAAAAAAAATTACAAGTCATTAATCCAAAGTTTAAAAACGTTTATAAATAACTCAACTTTCCCCTTCGAAAACGCAGCAATTTTTGTCCAAACAATAACCCAATATTTATTCGTTACAATTTAACATCCGGAGGCGATGACAAAGTACTATTCTTGTAGCAAAAAACGAATTGACCCCCTCTCGATAATCGAAAAAAAAAATGAAAATGAGGGGTGGGTGTTTGTTACGATATGAATAGAAAAATCCCCTTTTGGGAACTCGTGAGTGAATATCACCGCATTCCGGTCTTTGTAAAGGGCGCAACTGTCGCCAAGGTGTCCAATGGCCACTTCAACCCCCTTCAGTTGCAACCAAGCACGTTTTCAAATATCAAAGGGAGGAAGCTCTCGTTCTACGACGAAACTTCCATATTTAAATTGCGAGTATTCGAACTCGTCTCATCCATACATAAATAATTATTACGAGAACGAGACTTTTATGCTAAAACTTTTATTTTTTCTTTCTTAAATACATTTCTGATGTATAACTTTAAATATATTAAAATTCATTTACATTTTTGGTAACTCGAGCGCCATCTCTCCTTGAAAAGTAGAAATGTGTATGTTTAAAGGTAGACTTCTGTAAGTTAAGAACTCTACACTGAAAGTATTGATCCAATGTTGTGAAGTAGCTTTCGTTTCAGAGATGGCGCTACTCACAACTACAAGATTACAACATTAAAAACTTAAAATTTTTCTTTTTAAGTATTTGAAAGTAATTCAAGGGAATTTTATCACATGGGGAGGATTTATTTAAAGGGGGAGACGAATAAATCTCAAATTGAATAATTCCCCTTTTCTAAAGAGGTTCGTTAATTCCCCCAACCGCAGGGTATTATAAACAAGTCAGTGTAAGACTCCCCCATAAATCTTTTCGATGCACTTTCGGGCTTTATAAAGTTGATATAAAGGGTCGTCGCGACGCTCGTCCACAGACGATAAATAAACGTATCATCCGGGACCGTATCGTAAAAATTACGATGGGCCGTAACGACGAATACGGTCCTGTCCACGGACGTCTTTATGATCTTTACGAGAAAATAAACAAAAAAATGGATTTAAAAAACCCCAAACACACCCCGTGATTTAGTCCGTTCGAACTAAACTCGGGCGCGCAATTTCATACTCGGCCGGCTACCAACTAGTTCTGCGTTAGTCGTAAATTTCGAACGGAGTTCTAATAGAAAACCCCCGGTTTTTGATTTACACCGATTTTCGCGGGTTTGAAACGTCAAATTTTCGCCCGTGAAAAATGTTGGTTCGATTTTCATTTCGATTTTAGCGCGCATTGTTTCGACCGCACCATTTGCATTTATATTAAATACACCAGGCGGAGGTGGAGGAAGAGGAAACAAACGTCCGACGTAGAGGAGGAGTAAAGCATAAAGCGGCCGTGGTCGTTTGATTAATATTTTAAAATTTAAAAAGGAACCTCGAGAAACGACCCTTCCTTTCCAGTTACTACATGACTTATCCAAACCGACCCTCCATCGTTACTTATTAAAGAAGAAGTCAATGTTGACGTCTAGAAAGTAAAAAATTGGATGACAAAACGCGAAGCTCAAAAAATAAACTCATTTATATACGATTTTTGAATGAAAATTGAGACATGCACCAAACGAAAGTCGACCCTTTAAACGTTACGATTGCAATCAGCTAAAAGCTTCCCGGCGGCAGTTTTATTACGATAGTTCTATCTTCCGACATCACCACTTAGTCTCATCTAGGCCCGCATTTTGCGCCGTAGAAAAAGTGCTGCTGCTAATCTATTCTGAAAATCCGCAGTTAATAAGTTAGCGGAAGTTTCGTTGCAGTTACTCTTGCGAAACCACGACGCTTACAGAACGGTAGCGCCCTCAGGACGATGCAGGACGCCAAAGGGGTTAAATAATGCACAGACGCAATCTCTTAATAGCACCGTAGCCATTTCAAACTTGAATTTGGTGCCAAATTATACCGAAGTGTCTAATTTATGTACTTAAATGGGAAAAAATATAACAAAATTTCGTTAAAAAATTAATTTATAATTTCAAGGTCGCCGCAATATTGATTTTTTAATTCTTTTAGAGAGTCAAGTTTCCTAAATTTTAATACCAATTATAACGTTATAAAGCTTAGAAACGCTTCCATTATCTTCATCTCTTTAGAGAATAAAACCGAGGTCGCTTGCGGCAGAGGCACTACCTCGATGAACATTATATTTGTAGCTTCCCATTCATTATGTCCATCTGTTTAGCGAATGAAGCCGAAGTCGCTTGCGGCCAAGGCCATTCCTCAATGATGCTCTATATTAAAGGCTCTCCATTATCTTCATCTCTGTAGAAGATGAAGCCGAGGTCGTTTGCGGCCGAGGCACTACCTCTATGAACATTATATTTATAGCTTTCCATTCATTATGTCCATCTGTTTAGCGAATCAAGCCGAGGTCGCTTGCGGCCGAGGCCATTCCTCAATGACACTTTATATTAAAGGCACTCCATTATCTTGATCTCTGTAGAGAATGAAGCTGAGGCCGCTTGCGGCCGAGGTCCTACCTCAATCACGCTTTATATTAAAAGCTTTCCATTATTTTCATCTCTTTAGAAAATGAAGCCGAGGTCGCTTGCGGCCGAGGCATTCCCTTAATCACACTTGTTATATGAGGCTTTCTATTCATTATCGACATCTTTCTAGTGAATGAAGCCGAGGTCGCTTAAATATAAAAAAAGTCGTAAAAAAATCTGTGTATCACATTTAAGATAACAATGTTTGTTACCATAACAACGAAGTTAAGAAAAATACAAATAAACAAATATAGCCAGAATATGCGCCATAATTAACCAGGACGCTTTTATTTGAAACATTTTTCATTTAAATCACAAATGGCGTATTTACTAGCTATATTTCATACTTTTGTTCCACCCTGTATATCATACTAATTGATACAGTCATCATCAAAATAATCAGTGAAATTGTACTTGTTATGACTGAGAAAAGTAAAACAGCTTCTTTGTACTCTACATAAAATGAAGGGGTAAAAAGCAAAACGGTAATTTATTTCCCAATTTTATCATACGTGAAACGTGAACGTATAATATTCGATTATGATGCTATCCAATTTGTTGCAAAATTACCGGAAGATAGTAGCTTAGATACCTCTCTAGATTCAATTCCCATTTCGACTTATTCCCTCAAAACTTGCATGATATGTCGAAGAAGGTATTATACAAGGATTTTAGGATGATAACTGTTAAGTGATTACTCCTAAACTTTAATACGTGATGCGGGTTCCAAACAATACAATCGATTCATTTCCACTTCTCACCATTTAAGTTCTATTAACAATTAAATAAAAATTTCTTCTTTTTAAAAATTGTTGCAAGAATAATCCACTGATGTCTTAATTAACTTAAAAATCTATGTTGAAGATTCGAACTCAACATCTGTAATTGTTAAGCTGTACACCAAATATTTTGGGTCGTAGTACATTATCCTCACCTTGATTGTATTTTATATTTAATTGTAGCGCTTCGACTCTAAACGACCTTGACTAACTCT